CTCTGACCATTGGTATAATTTCGGTATGAGTCGTAGGCGACTCAGCCCAGGTATGAAGCCCTCTTAAAGGGTAAGCAGGTACGAAGATAGTTTTAGAAATACTGAAAACGCACTTATTACAGAGTCAAAAATGTGATCAATTTTTGATAACATAAGGTTTTATAAACGTAAATCTATGTTCAAGCTTGCCCTTCAAACAAAATGTTGGGGCAGAAAAAAAAAGATTTGGAAGTAAAAAGTACTTACTAACAACGAATGGGCACATTCTTAGTTACACTGTGTTTGTCATGTTACTTATTATAAAAAAAGGAAATTTATGATAAATGATTTTCGTGATTTACGGCATTACTGTTCCAAAATACGCGAATACTCAAGCAATCGTTCCAAATTGTTCGGCCATTCAAATTTTTTCAGTATTGCGTTCGCATTGCAAACATAATTTTTTCTTCTAGTCATTATCTCTAACCTCTTGATTTTTTGAAGTTTAAACAATTTCATTTCCAAAATTTCTTTTTCAGTAAAGGATATTCGTGCAAAATTTCCAACTATTCTGAGTTTCAGACTAAAATTTTCATGCATAATGTCTCAGACACGCGAATTCATTTCCTGTTGCTTTTAAGATAACTTGCACAAAATTAGTTTTAGAACTTCTATACAAAGACTTTCAACCTGCTAACAAACCTTATAGTGTTCTTTAATGATCGAAAAGAAGGCTCATGATGCGTTCTTTTTTTTTAATTTCATTAAATTAATGTATGACGTGGTCTTACGTGGCTTTGTCAGCGATGAAATGGCAGAAAATAAAGTAATACCCTCTCTCAAAAACCACTGATAGGTGCATTAAGCAATAACCATAAACGAGCGAATTTTACTGCATTCTGCTCAAAAAAGAGATTTCAAGGGTAGATGTACGAAGTAAAATATGAAATTTTGCAATGTTTTGGTTGGGATAGTTTGCTAGCTCAAACAGAATAGTGTACTTTCACAACATACATCAAGTCGAGAAGACGTTGCGACATCAGATTGGTGAACTAGCGCCATACATGCACTATTTGTCAGATTTAACCTTTGCAAAATTTGCATCACTACGAAGCCGTAA